AACGCAAGTACACGATAGCATCAATTTCGTGTGAATTGTTTTGTGTCACAAATTTGTACCACTCGCGCAGAATGTGGTATTCAATGGTATGGATTGAATTCTCTCGTTTAAGGGCTTCGATAAAAACCCTTGGGGTTGTGATAATGGATCGTTCGAACACTCTGACTGCTGCTTCGGATGCGGTGTTTTGGATTTGTATCATCGTCAGCAATGCATACATCTGGAACTGGAAGCTCCAACGGGTTTTGTCCTCGTACATCAATTGCAGCAGATTGTAGCCATTCACAGAACACCATTTTGTAATGGGTTCAAAGAAAACTTCGCATTGTGGCAAACCTTGTAGATGCTCCAAAAGAGTGCTTTTGCCGGAACCAATATTACCTTCGATGATAATATTTTTCGTTGGATGAACGGGTAGACAACTCGACAAAACATTAGGGTTTGGCGGAATGATGTCTGTCGAAGACTCAGCATTTGGTGTCTCAGCATCGTCTTCAATTAGTTCGCTTAGTTGGGAATGCTCGTTGATGGGCAAAGGCGATAGTTTGACGACAGGTCGCTTGAAGATTCCCGTTTTCGTCTTAACCGAACAGACTCGAACCAAACCATCGATACCTGGGTGTGTTTCGACGATTCGTCCCATTATCCATCTAGACGGTGGCAGGTTGTCTTCTTTGATGAGTACAACATCACCAATTTTCAGGTTGGGTTGTTCACGTGTCCATTTGGCACGCTGCTGAAGCGTTTTGAGGTAGTCGTTGTGGAAAACATTCCAAAATGTTTGAACTCTCTTCAACATTATATTGTATCGGTTAAGGGGCAAAACTTTCTGATCCAAAAGATTTGGTTCAGGGATTGCCAAGAGCGAATCACCGATGAGGAAGTGGCCTGGTGTTAAGTACGAAAAGTCGTCTGGGTCATTTGACATCGGGATCAACGGACGTGAATTTAAACAGCTTTCAATTCTTGCTAGCAATGTCGCTAATTCGTCGTACGTCGTTGATTGATCGCCAGTGACAGTTCGATACAAGTGTTGTTTCAATCGTCTGACATTTGATTCCCAAATACCGCCGAATGATGGAGCAGAAGGTGGGTTAAAATGGAATGCGATGCCTTGATTGGCTAATTCATTGACTAGCTCAAGATGAATAGACCTCAAATAATCATAATGATCAGACTGCAACTGTCGACGTGCGCCAATGAAATTCGAGCCACAATCAGAATACAGATCGGAGCACAATCCTCGTCTCGATACGAATCTCTGCAAGGCCATCATGAACGCTTGAGATGATTGGTCGATCACAGGTTCCAAATGAACAGCTTTGACCGACATACACACGAACAGAATGATGTAACCCTTGTAGATTTTACTTCCACGGATCTTCGATGTTCGTAAGCTGACTGGTCCACAAAGATCGATACCAGTGTGCAAAAAAGATCTCGACTTAGTGACACGTACCGCAGGTAGATCAGCCATAAGTTGAGTGGCAGTTTTTCCTTTTTGGCGATGAAAAATCACACATTTCGAAATGACCCTTCGAATGGAATTTTTTCCATCAGGAATCCAAAATTGTTTGCGAATTTCAGCCAATAAAAGTTGAGCTTCGGCGTGAAGTGCTCTCAAGTGGAAATAGCTGATGACCAATGCCGTGAAATGGTGGTTCTTCGGAAGAATGTACGGATGTTTCTCATCATAGTTTAGCTCACTCAAAGCTAAGCGACCTCTGATTCGTAACAATCCTACTGGATCAATGAATGGTTTCAGCTTCCAATGTTGGCTCTTCATTTTCTCTTTCCTATTTGATAGAAGAATTTTCTTTTCCTTGCTGAATTGTTGTGACTGGACAAAAGAAACTAATTTCTTCTTTGCTGAATTCAATTCATCTACAGTGAGGTGCTGCGTTTCAACATCATTTTTGTTTTTGATGAATCTAAAGAAGCGTCTGAACCATGAAGTGTAACGCAAAAGTTGAGTGTAACTGGAACAATAGTTCAGCAATTTCTCGGTTGGAGTTTCTTCACTCGGAATCGAAATTAGCAAAGTAGTTTTGAGTTCCCCTCGAATCAAATCGTTATCAGATTGACTGATGGAAAATTCGTTCAATTCTGGCCAATGGTTTTCTGGTAACGCTAACCAAGACGGTCCGTTGAACCATATGCTGTTGTTGTGTAAATGCTCAGGAAGTAGACCTCTCGAAACGTGATCAGCAGGGTTTTCGTGAGTAGAAACGTATTTCCATTGTTTGACTGATGAAGACTTAAGTATTTCTGTTACTCGGTTTGCAACAAAAATTTTCCACCTGTTTGGATCTCCATTCAACCAGTGCAAAACAACCTTCGAATCCGTCCAGAGATGAATGTTGGTTGGATCAATGTGGTGATGGCGAAGAGATCGCAGTACATATGCCATTAACAAAGCCAAGAGAGAGGCAGCACGAAGCCCCAAACGAGGTATAGTTTGCAGAACTCTGGGTGTGACTTTGGACTTGGCAATTAGTAATGATGTCGTGATAACTCCATTTTCATTCACACGTATGTAAATGGCTGCTCCATACGCATCGGTTGAGGCATCAGAAAAACCATGAAGTTGCAAGCTCGTTTCTGGTGTTGTTCGAATCCATCGAGGAATTTCAAACGATGGAAACAGTGTGAATTGAGCCACGAATTTCTTCCAATCATCAGCGATTTCAGACGGGATGAATTCATCCCAATCACATTGCGAAGCCCAAATTCGTTTCATGAAGAGCTTAGCCTTGACGGTGATAGGTGCAAGCAGTCCCATAGGATCGAATAGTCTAGCAATGTTTGACAAAACAAAGCGTTTCGTTAGTGGGCCGTCTGAATCGTACTTGAATTTGAAATTCAAAGTGTCTGATTTGGAATTCCAGGAGATTCCCAACGTCTTGATCGTTTTGTCTGGATAGTAAGTTATTAATCGTTCAAGAAAATGTAAATGAAATTCCTAAATTATTTGCATACAATATTTTAGTGGTAACATGAAAACAATCAACAAAAAGAGAGCAGAAATGCTCCA